GCCTGCCTGCCTGCCTGCCTGCCAGTCTGTCTGTCTGTCTGTCTGTCTGTGGGCATGCATGTGATGCACGAGCGGGTAAGACAGCTTGGGAAGGTTCGCGGCTCGCAGCATCGGAACCGGGCCGTCCACGGGGACGTGGTGATTGCTGCTCTGCATCACAAGGGGAATGGCGGGAAGTTAGTGGGATGGTGGCCATACAGTCGTACGTCCCACTGCAAGGTCCAGCCCATCCTGTACGGCCGCCAGGAGGAGAGCGTTCAACTTTGAGATTAAACTCGGGTCGAAGGGGCCACCGAGCTGCTGAGCTTTACTACACGAGAAGGTCTTCTCATCTCCTCTTGCGGCCTCTTTTTCCAGGAGTCCTCTTCCGAGGAGGAGGCCGCGCCGCCGGCGGCCATACCCTGCTCCGACTCTGAGGCACAGCTCCCGCTTTTGGGGTGTTTGCCAGCATCCTGGTGGTGCAGATGTCTGGCTGTCTGAGTTTTGGGAAGTTGTACTCGTAGGTGCTCGGAAAGACTCCGGAAGTCGGTAGGTTTCTCGCAGTGAACGCAAGCGGCTGTAATTGTCATGCCTTCCGGTCCGACTTCGAAAGCTCAGGGCACCGCCGAAACTCTGAGCCCCACTGATCCAAAGACCCCCCAGCACGGGCTGAAATCCGTTGTTCGTTCATGCAGGAGGAAGAGATTGTGCTGAACAAGCCGCATCTTGCAGGACTCACACGGTTGACGGTCCTGAGTCTGAGAGCACAATTCCCAGTAGACAAGACAGACACAGCAATTCTCTGCACTGGACTCCCTACACATGCCGAAACCCGAAAGGCCAGAAACGCCGCAGGAGCAGCCCGAGCTGCCCCCAAGTCCTCCGAGCAGGAAGTGCAGATGGCGAAGGCAGGGAGGCGAAAGCTCGAAGGCTTGAGGATTCCTTTGGAGCGCTTGGCGAGGGTTGCAAAGCTGGAACAAAACCACGGATGTCTTGTCGGAGTCGTCCGGGCTTCGCAGCCCAGCGCCTGCTTGTGGGTCGAGGTCGTCGCCATCGCAGAGAAGAAAGGACAGGGTCGGGTGCGCAGCTCGGAAAGTCTGTTTGTTTTGTGATCACGCTCGTCAGTCTGTCGTCAGTTTTGTCTCCTCCTGCTGTGTCGCGTTGCCTGCTTTATGTGTATGTATCAAGTCACAGAGCTTGCGGTAGCCAGGTCATCGTGTGCACGCTGCACCCAGACCGAGACAAGAAGGCTCTCTGCGCCAATGCCCAGCTGCACTGTCGGGGACGCATCAGTCGGTCTGCGTCTCTTCTTACTTCCCGTGTGCGGTTACTTGTCTCGTACGGCGTTGTACCTGCACATTAGTAGATTACTATACCAACACATGAATGTTTTAGTATACTAGTATATTTGTATACTTGTATGGTCGTACATTAGTATATTAGTATGTGACATTGTTGTCTGAGTATACTAGTAGACTGGAAAATTGGTGTAATTGTATATCAGTACGTTGGTCTATTACTATATTAACACAGTAACAAACTTGTATAATATATTACCGATTTGCTATATTAGTACATGAAGGTATCAGTATAATGTATATTAGTATAGTTGTTTGTTCGTGTAACAGTATGTTCGTATTTT